GCAGTCAGAGCTACAGGCTACAGTGAGGCTAAAAACAGAGTTCATATGACGTTTCTCCAAACAACTTTTTATGTCGCGGCTGCAGCACACTTGGATCACTATGGACGAGCAGTATGGAGATATTTTGTGGTTTCAATTTTGTGTTCTTGGACGTTAGTCTGGGGCGCCGTCTTCCATTAGGTGTGCTAGCTGCTCCGCTCGCCGATCTCTGCAAGTGATGTGAGGACTCTAAAACTTCACCTGAGCCTCCCTCGGCATATGGGTGAGTAGATAATGGCTGAATTTACATTTTTGGGTGCACTATCCCTTTAAGTAAAAACGCTGTATTAAAGTGTTCCTTAAATAAACTAAGTGTGTTTATAAAGAGAACATGAGCATGAACTGATCGTCTCACCTGCCTTTGTTCCGTCAGGTTCTGCTGAAGGATCAGACCTGGACATGGACCTTGACCTGGACCTGAGCCGGTCCTCATGGGGCCGGGCCGTTCTGCTCCTGGACATTTCTCCTGTCTCCATGACGACACCTCCAACATGTCCGACTGTGATCCAGCTGCTGTAGAGGAGCAGACGGCTGCAGAGGAAGCTCCTGGTCCTCCCAGTCCTCCTGGATCTCCTGATCCCCCTGGTCCCCCTGGTCCCCCTGCCCCTCCTGGTTCTCCCAGTCCCGGTCGCCCCCCCCTGGCAGAGAAGGCCCTGTCAGAGGCCTTCGCCCGGCTGCGGTACCAGGACACGTCTCTGCTGATCTGGCAGCAGCAGCAACAGGATCTGCAGGTGGCGCCGCCCTCCACCTACCTGAGCCGCAGCCAGTCGGCCTGGTACAGCAGCTACGGGAACCAGGCCGTCCTGATCCGGGACAAGAGGGGCCTGGAGGACGCAGAGGGACGCTCCAGGATCTGCAGCCTCATGTAGACTCATGTCTCATGTTTTACACTTCCTGTCCAAGGCAGGAACATCACGCCGTTACGATCTCGATCACAGACTGTGGAGACAGTCGTTGCGCGTCTAATCTGCCATTGAAGGAAGTGACAGCACCAAGTCAGTGTCTGTGTGAAAGGGACAGTCGACAGGATGGGACCATGGACAGGACAGGTGGGACGTTTGGACGATGTGTTCTGTGGGCGACCTACCGCAGGACATTTAAAAAGCAGCAGTTAGCAGTTAGCGGCTAACTCAGAGAAGAAGAACAGCAGCTGAAAATGGCCACAAATAATGAAAAGGGACTTCATAGCAGCTCTGTAGCGCCACCGGTGTGTGACCTTACTGTCATGTGACATGTCGCTCATCTCCGCATCATTTCCTGTAACGAACTACATCGTCTGCACTTTAAATGAACTGAATCCTTTTTATGTTTCTGTGAACAGTTTTAATCTCTGAAATTATTTTCATCTTTCATGGTTTCATTTCATTTTTCATAAGAACAACGACAGATCAGAGCACAACATTTTTATTTTTTTATTTTCTGTTACTCTGATATTTATTTCTGATGTATTGATTATTGGAGATTTTATTCTCTGTATGGTCCATGTTGAAATGTTTGCTGGTAGATGAGTTAAATAACTGGAATTATACCAGATGATCAGCCGATGATGTCATGTTGTTTGAGATGATCGTCAGACGACATCTGTGTGAGTCTAACTTTCCTGAGCTTCAGTTTCACATCAAATTTCAAACCTTTACTTGGAAATTGAGTTAGTAAACCCATTAGTTAAACCATTGCACAAAACACCTTAAGCTTTTCCTTAAGTCCAGGACAGTTTTCTCCCTATTTGGGGCTTATACCTAAGAAATCCCTTAAACTTAGTTAAACTGTTGCACAAAAGATCTTAAGTGTCAGAAGCGTATGAGTCCACATGGAAACTAACATCTTTCTCAATGCAATAAATGCCTTAATGGTTTCCTTAACCAAGGAAACACTTTTAAGGGATTCTCTTCAACACCTTTAAGTAAGTCCCTTAGCTAAGGGAAAATTAAGCCTTACATGTCACACTAAAATATACTAAATAATAATAAAATATACTACAAAAACTACAAAGGTATTGGCTGGTTGTAATCTGACATCCTCACTGCTGGATGTCATTAAATCCCCTTATGTCTGACACACTGTTCCTTTAAGTCTGTTTAAGGTCTTTTTTCGGTGAGCGGTTGGCGTCAGTGTCCAGACAGAAACATTTAGTATGTGTGTGAATGAGAGTCGACTCGGCGTCAGCTTCAGTTTACGTGTTTATTTATGAAAACAAAGGAACTCAGAAAATAAGGATCCCATATCAGTAATTACATCAAATAATTCACTTGTTGGTTTTTCGTCGGTTCGTCCTCTCTGCGTCTCTGCGTGTCTCTGTCTCTCCGTGAGTCTCTACTCTATCGAGCGGAGTTGGATCTAAACCTCAGACAGCTACTATACAGCTACTATACAGTGCTCAAACATACGGAAGAAAAAACGTACGGCCGGAGTGCATGCAAATACATAAAATCACTTTTTTCCTTTTTCTTATTAAAATACAAAAATTAACTATCAGCATCAAAGCTCGACCATCAACTAAAAACAAACAGAGGAGGGTTACTGTGGCAACCGGCTGTCTTGCTGTCCATCTGTCTGTCCGTCACGTTGGGAGGAAGTCTGTGTGTGTGTGTGTGTGTGTGTGTGTGTGTGTGTGTGTGGTCACTTATCTATCAGTTATTGATCCATCTGTAAAATGTCCAAAATAAAGCCTGTTTAAGTCTCAACAAGATTCGTCAACCCGACAACAGAAAGCACAAATGAATTCCCACCATAACTGAACATCTCCATGACAACCAAGAAACTCCGCCCACTGATGCAGGCCATGAAAAGCATCAGATTCAGTTTGAAATGAGACGAAAAACAAAATCAGAACGATCTTTGAAAAGTGTAAAAACAGAAATGAGTCATCAGAACTATCGGATTAAAAATCAATTAATATTTTTTCATCATCAGTTAAAAGTTCGTCCGTGTGGCTGTGAAGCTGCTGAACTGAAATTAAACCACTGATCAATAATCAATATCTTCAACCACTCAGAGGCTCTGAGTTCACAGACAGGTGGGGTTTCGACCAATCACAGAGGAGGAGGCAGAACTGACAGGTGACGACCCAAAAACCACCAGCTGTGTCTGTATCCATGACGACAAGTCAGCATGACGCTGGTCCAGTGTCATCGAAACAGAGGTCAAAGGTCAAACAGACAGACAGACAGACAGACAGATCGACAGGTAAGCTGTGGGTGTGAGAGTCACATGATTCAATCTGATTGGTTTGTCCTGATCGATCCGATCAGCAGAAACACGACAAGGTCAGAAGAGAAAAAGGAAGTGGCGCCCCTCTCCCGCCTGCTGTCTCACCGTGCTGCGTTCAGAACATGATGGAAAATTGGAAATTCTATCTTTCTGTTAGAGAAGACTTTTCTGTGATGAGCGTCCAGCATCACAGCCTTTAACCGACCAATCAGAGCAGAGCGTGATGAGTTAATGTTTGTGTGTGGAGCTGCGATGATTCGTCCAATAATCACTTCTTTGATTTATAGAAATTTAATCAGCGACTGTTTTTATAATTTGTATGTGTTCAAACAAAACGAGCCGTCTCCAGGAGCTGCTGCTGTCCTCGCTCCTACACTGGACAGATCTCATGCTGGTGGAACAAAACAAGACATTTGATGATGTCACTTTGGGCTCCAGTCACACGCCGTTCTCACAGAGCGCCGACGTTTTACAGTAACACAGAGTACGTTTCACAGTACGACGTTCTCAGGTGACAGGAAACACTATGACATCAGGGGTCTGACATCACCACGAGACGTCAGCTGCGTCCCAAACATAAGGACACTTCATTGCAGCTCAGTCAGGTGACCATGAGGCTGTGATGTCACCACGAACACGACATCAAAATAAAAATCTGATGCTGTGTTTAAAAGGTTTGAGCTGACGAGGCCGCCGCAGCCAATCACATCAAACTTTACTTAAAACTCTAAAATTAAACAGGAAGTTGAACAGGAAGTTCATCTCGCTGATTCAAACTGTTGATTTTTCTTCACGTTCACAAAAACTTTTTATGATCTGAGCAGAAAGAAAATAATTCGACGTCTGCGTCCTCGTGTGAGTTCGTCTTTATTTTGGACATTTTAAAGAGACAATAATCGATCCTAAAAATAATTGATGAAAAAATAAACAGCTGTTTTTCTCTCGCGGTTCATTGAAGGTGTTTGTTTTTTTTACACTCGCAGTTTCTTTTTTTGGAACTTTCCTTCCCAGCAGATTGTTTTTGGGTTTTTCTGTCGTTTTGACGTTTTTAACCTCTGACGTGAAACTGATCTGGACCCCTCCTCACATTTGGTTCAGTCTGAACTCTGACAGGAAGTATCCATGGTTTGGTGGCGGGGGGGGGGGGGGGGGGGGGGGGAGGGGGGGGGGTGGTGTTGGGGGGGGGGGGGGGGGGGGGGGGGGGGGGGGGGGGGGGGGGGGGGGGGGTTACAGTATGAGTGGTTTTGTTTTGACGGCAGCGGGGTGGTGGTGGCGGCAGTGGGGGGGTTGAACAGGACAGCGGTACAAAGACGTTTTTATATAGAGAACCTTATAAGACACAAACAAGTTTAGCACACAACCTGAAAAATTAAAACTGAAAAATAAAGGAAATGTAGTGTTAAAAAAAACAAACAAACAAAAAAAACAAAAACAGAAGTTTGTCTCGCTCTGCGCTGACAGAGCCGGCGCTGGTTGGTGGGGGGTGCCTGGGTCCGAGCCTGGTGACCCCACCCACCCCCCCCCATTGACCCCGGGGACAGACAGTAGGTGTGGGTGTGGCGTTCAGGACCAGCAGAGGACGGTTTGGTCTCAGAGGGTTTTCGGTTCTTCATGATTTACCTTAGAGCATAAATCAGCTGATTGATTCTAAATGATCTGACAGATTAACTGATAACTTCAAGATTAAAAAATAAAAACTTGTGATTCTAGTTTTAATTAAAAAAACTCCTGCAGAGACCTGAAACTTGTAGCAGAGAGAATCTAAAGTGATGACGATGTGTTGAGATCATTTAAATAAACCTGCGTCACATTCGAGAAACTGTCACCGACCGCAGCACCACTTTAAACTGGAGTGACATCACGGTTAAGATTGACTCGATGCGACCAGGTGTCGCACTCGGCAGCTGCCGCCGAGCGGAACTTAATGAAACCACATCAACACTATAAACAAGCGTCCAATCGCATCACATCACCTCACAGAGCTCCCCGTCCACACTGAATCCATCGAATAGCCACTTCTGTTACTTCACGTAAACACAACACGTAAACATCAGCTGTTTGATTCAGATCAGAGATGTGACCACTTCAACGATGGGTAAGTAGCCTACTGACGACCTTTCTACTCTGTAAGGCTACTTTTTAAAAACACATTTATAATGGGATTTTTGATGGAAATGACAAAATCACCAGCAGGAAACGTTAGCGAGGGTCATTTGGCAGAAACGTTCAGCTCCCTGTTGATCTGCCTCTGGTCAGCTCACACCTTCATCAGGTATTCTTACTAAAATAAGAAGACATCACATCGATAATTCATCCTAACTTCATCAACCAGCAGTTCCTCGTCCACTGTAAGCGAAAGATATAAATAGAAACACGCCATCTGAAAGTTCAGCTCACAAAGAGCGCTGCGTCACTCGTGGTTATTCAGGACGCCTCTTCTGTTGGATTCAAATCCAAAATGTTGTCATATTGGTGCAGTTTTAGTTTTCTTGCTACATCTCCTCTCACCACCCCAAAACACACGCCGCTCTGCCCCTCCCATCTCCTGAAATATAATCTCCTTCCTGCTGCAGACAGCGGCCTCGGCTCACAGCTGCTCAGACACTGGTGGCTCCATTTAGAAACATAATATTATTAACACAGTACATGTTGGATTTCGCGCCGTGACACTGTCGGCACAGGCCGATGATGTAGGCGACTTTTTCATTTGCCATAATGACAAACGTCAGTTTAGCTGGTCTGTATCAAATCTAACCAGTTTAAGCTCGGACACCAGAAATCGACCCAACTCTAACGATGATGCGTTCAATGCCTCCACAGTGAACCAATCGGCAGTTTGAACCACATTCTTGTGTCACTGCAACGTAACAACCTCCATCTTCTCACACCACACCTCCACACGACAGTCACGTTTACAACAGCAGCTGTTCGGAGTAGTTAACCCGAACTCTGCTGACCACCAGAGGAACCAGATCAGACCAGATCACGCCAGATCGCTACAGGAAATATGATGCTTTAAGACATTTTGTCATCTATACAATAACGACTGGATTTTCCAGTCAAGACAAAAAGCTGCAGAACACTGCAGACCGACACCAGAACGAGGACCTGAACGCACCTTCAGTTTGTTCACATAAAGATAAGTGATAAACTGTGACCGGATCTTTACAAACACTCAAACGCACCACTACATGATGACGTCACTACGACACCACAGATCGTTCCTCAGCACCAAGTTTCAAGCCTCTGACAGCTGATTGGTGGTTTACAACGTGATTGGCTCCCACAATGCTCTGAACTTTGTCTCACAAAACCCAAAACTAATCAGTATCAGGTGATGACACAAAAAGTTTCCTGTTATAACATTTGTTTCACGTTTTCACAAAGGGTTTTCATGTTAAACTTGTTACAACAAGAAAAGCATCTTTTTTTATGAAAAAAAATTCTTGTAATGGGAAATTTTTTTTGTAAAATTTTATCACCTGATACTGATCAGCTGTTTTTTTTTTACTTGTGTGGCATCAACACATTTCCATTCGCAGGCGTTTCCACCCTGTAGACAAAAATCTGAGGAAACTCTTTGCAGGCGCTCTGCTTCCAATCAATCAATCAATCAATCAATCACTATCTGAAACCCTGATCAGAGTAAAACCCACTGAGATCGCCTCCTCCTTCTCCTCCTCCTCCTCCTCCCATGATTCTCTACAGATGCTTCTGGAATGTTTTCAGAGGTCAGGGGTCGCAGCCGGCCGTCCCAGAAGAGGAAGAAGAAGAAGAAAGCCTCCATGGCAACGATGCTCGAGCTTTCAGAGAAGATCAACACGACTCCCAGACAGACAGACAGACGGGCTGTCTGTCTCTCCTCCTCCTCCTCTTTCTTCTCTGACTGGAAGTTGTCACTGTCTTCCTCTCCTCCTCCTCCATCTGTCGGCATTCCTCCAGGAAAACAAAAACAAAAAAAAAAAAAAAACACACTAGGAGCTAAAAAACAGGTCAGCCTATTTACATACAGTCTCCACGTCTGGGCGTGTGTGTGTGTGGTTTATATGTATGTGTGTGTGTGTGTGTGTGTGTTGTAAGAAGTTCAGAGTGTGTATCTCTGTCTTTGTGTGTGAGTTTGTTCAGGATGGAAGTTTACATGGATGTGTGGGTGTAAGTGTGTATCTGTGTGTGTTAACTGTATAGACTGAGTTGTGTGTGTGTGTGTGTGTGTGGCGTGGATAAACCTCTGTGTGTGTAATCAGTGTGTGAATTCAGTAACGTGTGTGTGTGTGTTCAGTCTGTGTCAGAGGAGGAGGAGGTTCCTGTTGAGGAGCTGTCATCAGAGGAGGAAGAAGAGCTGCCACTCAAACGACTAGCTCCGCCTCCTGAGGCCCCGCCTCCAGCTGCCTTTTCTGCAGAGAGAAAGAAAGAAATCATGAACAGATGTACGTGTCACTGAGGATGTACGCAAGCAGTGTCCCGTATGTACCCGAGTAGTGTTGAGTAGTAGTATATATGTGGTATATTAATACTCAGAACTTACGCAGTAGCTTCCTCTGCTTCTTCTGAAGGCAGGATTTGACGTAGCGCTCCAGCTCTCGAAGTGTTGAGGGTTTGAGGGTTTCAAAGTCGATCTCGATCTCGTCAGGGTTGGAGTCCCTCAGCGATGGCTCTCTGGACTGGATGATGTGAACGACACGGCCCAGCTTCTCCCCCGGCAGCCGGTTTATATCCAGACTCAGCTGGCGTTTCTCGTCATACGACATTGGCAGTGATGACTCCTCGCCATCGTCTCCGTTGGCTGAGCCACCGCCCGACGCCTTACTGCCTTTCTTAGGTTGCCTAAAAACACAGTCACTCTGAATTCAGTCCCAGCAGTTTCATGAAAAATCTCCTAAAAAACTTTGATGTAAAGAAAAAGGAAACTAACTGAGACGTACCTCGTGGCGGTCACCGTGCTGTTGGCTTTCCTGGCTGGCGCTTTCTTCTGATTGGCTGGTTTGGGCTGCTGAGCAGCAGCCTTGGGCTTCTTCTCTTCCTCCATCTTGCCTTTGTTCCCTTTGTCTTTCTCCTTCTCTTTCTTCTTCTCCTTGTCTTTCTTCTCTTTCTTTTTCTTTGGCTTGCTGACAGGAGCCTGGGACAGGACGGCCAGCTGCTCGTGCACCGCCTTCAACTGGTGGAATACACTGATTATCAATACCTCTAACCTCCCATCAATATTTAGAAACGCCTTCCACAGGTGAGTCATTCTAGAAATCAATCTAAAACCATGTGCTCATAAGTAGGATCAGTATTTTTATATCAAAAATAATTTATAGAAAATCAAATAAACAGAATTTCTTAAGTTTCATTAAATCTACAACAATATTAAAAAAGAAGAAAACCAGGATGTTCTTGACCTGTGATTGGTCGGCAGCACCAACCTGCTCCTGTAGCTCAGCCAACCGCGTGGCTCGCTCCTCCTCTGAGTCAGACGATTCGTCGGAGGAGGAGTTGTTGCTGCTGTCAGAGGAGGCGGTGCTTTTACTGACCACTGGTGTTGTAGATGGGACTGACGGCTCCAGGCCCTCGTCTGGGATCTTAGCGAAACGCATCTCAAACACATCCTGAGGACAGAGACAAGAGAAAGATTTATATTTACTGAGCAGAGAAATCAATCAGATGAAGATTCTGAAATGTTCTGGAACGTTCTGGAGGTTGTATGTACCTGCAGCTTGCGGGCCATGGCCACCACCTCGTGGTCTGGAGGGTTGTACTTGTAACAGTTGGAGAACATTAACCTGACGTCAGTGGCGAAACTTTGAGGATCGCTGTACTCTCCTTTATCCATCTTTTTCTGTCGGGGGGAAACAGATATTAAAAATGTAAAAATTAAGGCGAAATTTATACTTCTGCATTGAACTGACACTGTTACTTTAATTTCACAGATAAGAAACAATAAATTGTGAAGACAATAAAGCCTCCACACACTGTGTGTGATTTATCCTGGCTGAAATATGAGCAGAGGAAATCTCTGCTAGCTGCTAGGCTAATTTATACAATGTAAAATGCCATAGTCTTGTGCTAATAACGTTAGCATGTTGTATTTGTGGGGAAAACGTGTTTAGTATGAGACAGTTGTTTTGTCAGTGAACCTTGTGAGTTGTAATGGAGCTGAATTTAGTAACGTTACCTTTGTTAAATATTGCTGTTGTCCCTGGCTTCATATGAGGAGAGGAAATCTCTGCTAGCTGCTAGGCTAATTTATACAATGTAAAATGCCATAGGCTTGTGCTAAAAACATTAGCATGTTGTATTGGTGGGGAAAACGTGTGTTTTGAATCAACTAAACTTTACAGCACTTCCCAGAAACCGCTGTTGATACTGTGACTATTACCTTTTAACTCAGGCTGGAGCGTCTGACAGCTCACATATTATCTACACGGCTGTGACTTCAGCTCCTCTTGGTGATTATAACTGCAGTAAATTCAACAAGCTGCACATACTCCCACTTGGATACATTCTAGGGCCTCTGATTTTTCTTTTTTTTTGTTTTTTTAAATCGGCCTCTTGATGGATCCCTGAACATTAGACCAGACATCACATCTACACTGATGACACAGGACTCAACACCTGCTCTGAACTCAGCGGTGTGTGTGAGCATTACCCGGACAGTGCTGAGGTCCATGGGGTGTTTGATGATGTCGTGGTAGTCGTGCAGCTCCAGTGCCTCTGCGTCCACTGGTTTGTAGAAGGGCCAGGCGTAAGCGGCATGTTTTTTAGAGAGCATCTCCTTCAGGATGGCGTCGCAGTGTTTCATCTGCTCACCGAGCTTACCGCCCTTACTCCTCCCAGCTCCCCCTCCGCCGCCTCCCACCTCACCCCCCGCCACCTCCTCAACTGTCTCCCTTCGGGTCTTGGCGGGCCGGGCAGCAGCCTCACGGCGGGACGAGCCAAGTTTGGCCGGTTTGGTGTCCTGGGCGGACGGAGAGTCGGCGCGACCAGCAGAGATGGCCGACGTGGTGGGAGTGGTGGTGTCGGCTTTCCTTTTCACACCTTTCTTCTGTTAGAGACACAGACAGGTGGAGAAAGAGACAGACAGGTTGAGACGGACAGATGGGTGGAGTCAGATGTATCAGTGTTTTGTTTTCTAACTTGGGTCACGTGATGCTGCCCAACACCACACATCTGTTACCTTTACAACGGGCTGTGCAGACGGCATCATGGTTGCCGGGGGTTGCGGGGCAGAGACGGGGGGTGTGGTCTGTACCGGTGTGGGCGTGGTTGAGATGACAGGTGTCTGAGAGGGAGAAGGGGAGGGGTAGGAGGGGGGAGGGGAGGCTGAAGACTCCGCCTGCTGACTCACTGAGACAGACAGACAGAAAAAGTACTGTTAGTGCTGCAGTAGTACTGTATGTGTACCTGTAGTAACAGTAGCACTGTATGTGTACCTGTAGTAACAGTAGCACTGTATGTGTACCTGTAGTAACAGTAGCACTGTATGTGTACCTGTAGTAACAGTAGCACTGTATGTGTACCTGTAGTAACAGTAGCACTGTATGTGTACCTGTAGTAACAGTAGCACTGTATGTGTACCTGTAGTAACAGTAGCACTGTATGTGTACCTGTAGTAACAGTAGCACTGTATGTGTACCTGTAGTAACAGTAGCACTGTATGTGTACCTGTAGTAACAGTAGCACTGTATGTGTACCTGTAGTAACAGTAGCACTGTATGTGTACCTGTAGTAACAGTAGCACTGTATGTGTACCTGTAGTAACAGTAGCACTGTATGTGTACCTGTAGTAACAGTAGCACTGTATGTGTACCTGTAGTAACAGTAGCACTGTATGTGTACCTGTAGTAACAGTAGCACTGTATGTGTACCTGTAGTAACAGTAGCACTGTATGTGTACCTGTAGTAACAGTAGCACTGTATGTGTACCTGTAGTAACAGTAGCACTGTATGTGTACCTGTAGTAACAGTAGCACTGTATGTGTACCTGTAGTAACAGTAGCACTGTATGTGTACCTGTAGTAACAGTAGCACTGTATGTGTACCTGTAGTAACAGTAGCACTGTATGTGTACCTGTAGTAACAGTAGCACTGTATGTGTACCTGTAGTAACAGTAGCACTGTATGTGTACCTGTAGTAACAGTAGCACTGTATGTGTACCTGTAGTAACAGTAGCACTGTATGTGTACCTGTAGTAACAGTAGCACTGTATGTGTACCTGTAGTAACAGTAGCACTGTATGTGTACCTGTAGTAACAGTAGCACTGTATGTGTACCTGTAGTAACAGTAGCACTGTATGTGTACCTGTAGTAACAGTAGCACTGTATGTGTACCTGTAGTAACAGTAGCACTGTATGTGTACCTGTAGTAACAGTAGCACTGTATGTGTACCTGTAGTAACAGTAGCACTGTATGTGTACCTGTAGTAACAGTAGCACTGTATGTGTACCTGTAGTAACAGTAGCACTGTATGTGTACCTGTAGTAACAGTAGCACTGTATGTGTACCTGTAGTAACAGTAGCACTGTATGTGTACCTGTAGTAACAGTAGCACTGTATGTGTACCTGTAGTAACAGTAGCACTGTATGTGTACCTGTAGTAACAGTAGCACTGTATGTGTACCTGTAGTAACAGTAGCACTGTATGTGTACCTGTAGTAACAGTAGCACTGTATGTGTACCTGTAGTAACAGTAGCACTGTATGTGTACCTGTAGTAACAGTAGCACTGTATGTGTACCTGTAGTAACAGTAGCACTGTATGTGTACCTGTAGTAACAGTAGCACTGTATGTGTACCTGTAGTAACAGTAGCACTGTATGTGTACCTGTAGTAACAGTAGCACTGTATGTGTACCTGTAGTAACAGTAGCACTGTATGTGTACCTGTAGTAACAGTAGCACTGTATGTGTACCTGTAGTAACAGTAGCACTGTATGTGTACCTGTAGTAACAGTAGCACTGTATGTGTACCTGTAGTAACAGTAGCACTGTATGTGTACCTGTAGTAACAGTAGCACTGTATGTGTACCTGTAGTAACAGTAGCACTGTATGTGTACCTGTAGTAACAGTAGCACTGTATGTGTACCTGTAGTAACAGTAGCACTGTATGTGTACCTGTAGTAACAGTAGCACTGTATGTGTACCTGTAGTAACAGTAGCACTGTATGTGTACCTGTAGTAACAGTAGCACTGTATGTGTACCTGTAGTAACAGTAGCACTGTATGTGTACCTGTAGTAACAGTAGCACTGTATGTGTACCTGTAGTAACAGTAGCACTGTATGTGTACCTGTAGTAACAGTAGCACTGTATGTGTACCTGTAGTAACAGTAGCACTGTATGTGTACCTGTAGTAACAGTAGCACTGTATGTGTACCTGTAGTAACAGTAGCACTGTATGTGTACCTGTAGTAACAGTAGCACTGTATGTGTACCTGTAGTAACAGTAGCACTGTATGTGTACCTGTAGTAACAGTAGCACTGTATGTGTACCTGTAGTAACAGTAGCACTGTATGTGTACCTGTAGTAACAGTAGCACTGTATGTGTACCTGTAGTAACAGTAGCACTGTATGTGTACCTGTAGTAACAGTAGCACTGTATGTGTACCTGTAGTAACAGTAGCACTGTATGTGTACCTGTAGTAACAGTAGCACTGTATGTGTACCTGTAGTAACAGTAGCACTGTATGTGTACCTGTAGTAACAGTAGCACTGTATGTGTACCTGTAGTAACAGTAGCACTGTATGTGTACCTGTAGTAACAGTAGCACTGTATGTGTACCTGTAGTAACAGTAGCACTGTATGTGTACCTGTAGTAACAGTAGCACTGTATGTGTACCTGTAGTAACAGTAGCACTGTATGTGTACCTGTAGTAACAGTAGCACTGTATGTGTACCTGTAGTAACAGTAGCACTGTATGTGTACCTGTAGTAACAGTAGCACTGTATGTGTACCTGTAGTAACAGTAGCACTGTATGTGTACCTGTAGTAACAGTAGCACTGTATGTGTACCTGTAGTAACAGTAGCACTGTATGTGTACCTGTAGTAACAGTAGCACTGTATGTGTACCTGTAGTAACAGTAGCACTGTATGTGTACCTGTAGTAACAGTAGCACTGTATGTGTACCTGTAGTAACAGTAGCACTGTATGTGTACCTGTAGTAACAGTAGCACTGTATGTGTACCTGTAGTAACAGTAGCACTGTATGTGTACCTGTAGTAACAGTAGCACTGTATGTGTACCTGTAGTAACAGTAGCACTGTATGTGTACCTGTAGTAACAGTAGCACTGTATGTGTACCTGTAGTAACAGTAGCACTGTATGTGTACCTGTAGTAACAGTAGCACTGTATGTGTACCTGTAGTAACAGTAGCACTGTATGTGTACCTGTAGTAACAGTAGCACTGTATGTGTACCTGTAGTAACAGTAGCACTGTATGTGTACCTGTAGTAACAGTAGCACTGTATGTGTACCTGTAGTAACAGTAGCACTGTATGTGTACCTGTAGTAACAGTAGCACTGTATGTGTACCTGTAGTAACAGTAGCACTGTATGTGTACCTGTAGTAACAGTAGCACTGTATGTGTACCTGTAGTAACAGTAGCACTGTATGTGTACCTGTAGTAACAGTAGCACTGTATGTGTACCTGTAGTAACAGTAGCACTGTATGTGTACCTGTAGTAACAGTAGCACTGTATGTGTACCTGTAGTAACAGTAGCACTGTATGTGTACCTGTAGTAACAGTAGCACTGTATGTGTACCTGTAGTAACAGTAGCACTGTATGTGTACCTGTAGTAACAGTAGCACTGTATGTGTACCTGTAGTAACAGTAGCACTGTATGTGTACCTGTAGTAACAGTAGCACTGTATGTGTACCTGTAGTAACAGTAGCACTGTATGTGTACCTGTAGTAACAGTAGCACTGTATGTGTACCTGTAGTAACAGTAGCACTGTATGTGTACCTGTAGTAACAGTAGCACTGTATGTGTACCTGTAGTAACAGTAGCACTGTATGTGTACCTGTAGTAACAGTAGTACTGTATGTGTACCTGTAGTAACAGTAGCACTGTATGTGTACCTGTAGTAACAGTAGTACTGTATGTGTACCTGCAGTAACAGTAGTACTGTATGTGTACCTGTAGTACTACAGTAGTACTGTATGTGTACCTGTAGTAACAGTAGCACTGTATGTGTACCTGTAGTAACAGTAGTACTGTATGTGTACCCGTAATAACAGTAGCACTGTATGTGTACCTGTAGTAACAGTAGCACTGTATGTGTACCTGTAGTAACAGTAGCACTGTATGTGTACCTGTAGTAACAGTAGTACTGTATGTGTACCTGTAGTACTACAGTAGTACTGTATGTGTACCTGTAGTAACAGTAGCACTGTATGTGTACCTGTAGTAACAGTAGTACTGTATGTGTACCCGTAATAACAGTAGCACTGTATGTGTACCTGTAGTAACAGTAGCACTGTATGTGTACCTGTAGTAACAGTAGCACTGTATGTGTACCTGTAGTAACAGTAGTACTGTATGTGTACCTGTAGTACTACAGTAGTACTGTATGTGTACCTGTAGTAACAGTAGCACTGTATGTGTACCTGTAGTAACAGTAGTACTGTATGTGTACCCGTAATAACAGTAGCACTGTATGTGTACCTGTAGTAACAGTAGCACTGTATGTGTACCTGTAGTAACAGTAGCACTGTATGTGTACCTGTAGTAACAGTAGTACTGTATGTGTACCTGTAGTACTACAGTAGTACTGTATGTGTACCTGTAGTAACAGTAGCACTGTATGTGTACCTGTAGTAACAGTAGTACTGTATGTGTACCTGGAGTACTACAGTAGTACTGTATGTGTACCTGGAGTAACAATAGTACTGTATGCGTACCTGTAGTAGCGGCGGCAGGCTGTTTGCCCTTGCTCTTGCCTTTGGGAGGTGGAGGCAGCAGAGCGACTTCTTCTTGAGGCATCTGAGCAACTTTCTGCAGGAAGATTTTCTCTAAAGCCTGAGCCATGAGGACGATGTCATCTGTGGGCTGAAACACAGGTATTTAAAAAGTACTCTGACAGTACTATAACTCTACAGCACCATCTAGTGGCAGCAGTGCCACACTGCCTTCTTCCACCTCCTGCACAGCTCACAGCTGAGACAGGTGTCACTGCAACACTACGGTCCGTACCTTCAAAGTACAAAGTAAAACTGTAGTACCGTGAGGGTACTGGTACAGCAGTAGTATAGTAGTAGTACCTTGTTGTAGATGTAACAGTTGGTGAACATGGTGTTGAAGTCCTGCATGGCCTCACTGGCACTCCAGTAATAATTGTTCTCCAGACGTTTCTTAATGGTTCCCATGTCCATCGGGTTCTTGATGACCTTGTGGTAGTCCTGGAAAAATGGACATGGTTAGCTTAAGCAGGCCTTTTACTTATGCGTCGCATCAACGCCGTACCCTACGCTGCAGCCTGACGTGCAGCTCCCCAGAGATGTAACTCCACGTCACAGTGACGCAGACCTCCTGTCTGTCTCTGTAAGCTGAAACCATTTCCCTCAGTGGAAACAAAGCTTTGATTTACTTTAATTTCACAGATAAGAAACAATAAATTGTGAAGACAATAAAGCCTCCACACACTGTGTGTGATTTATCCTGGCTGAAATATGAGCAGAGGAAATCTCTGCTAGCTGCTAGGCTAATTTATACAATGTAAAATGCCATAGGCTTGTGCTAATAACGTTAGCATGTTGTATTTGTGGGGAAAATGTGTCCAGATAAAGACAAGTGTTTGTCTGTGAATGCTGCGAGTTATAGTGAAGCTGATTTGTGTTTGAAACTGTCGCTATTAAGCCATGTTTAATGTGTGTTTACTGTGTGTTTAAAGTGTGTTTACTGTGTGTTTAACATGTGTTTAACGTGTTTGTGTGTTTTTAATGTGTGTTTTGTGTGTTTAATGTGTGTTTAATGTGTTTTTTGTATGTTTAATGTGTGTGTTTAATGTGTGTGTTTAACCTGTGTTTAACCTGTGTTTTTAATGTGTGTTTTGTGTGTTTAATGTGTTTTTTGTGTGTGTTTAATGTTTTTTGTGTTTAATGTGTGTCTAATGTGTGTATTTAATGTGTTTTTTGTGTGTTTAATGTGTGTGTTTAGTGTGTGTGTTTAATGTGTGTGTAATGTGTGTAATGTGTGTTTAATGTGTTTTTTGTATGTTTAATGTGTGTTTAATATGTTTAATGTGTGTTTTGTGTGTTTAATGTGTTTTTGTGTGTGTTTAATGTTTTTTGTGTTTAATGTGTCTAATGTGTGTATTTAATGTGTGTTTAATGTGTTTAATGTGTGTTTAATGTGTGTGTAATGTGTTTAATATGTGCTTAATGTGTGTTTATTGTGTTTAATGTGTGTTTAACCTGTGTTTTTGTTTTTAATGTGTGTTGTGTGTGTTTAATGTGTTTTTGTGTGTGTCTAATGTGTGTGTTTAATGTGTTTTTGGTTTTTTTAATGTGTGTTTAATGTGTGTGTTTAATGTTTTTAATGTGTGTTTAATGTTTGTGTGTTTGTGTTTTTTTTGTTTAATGTGTGTGTTTAATGTGTGTGTTTTTTGTGTTTAATGTGTGTGTTTAATGTGTGTGTTTTTTGTGTTTAATGTGTGTGTTTAATGTGTGTTTAATGTTTGTGTTTAATGTGTGTGTTTAATGTGTGTTTAATGTTTGTGTGTTCAATGTGTGTTTAATGTGTTTTTTGTGTTTAATGTGTGTGTTTTTTGTGTGTGTTTAATGTGTGTTTAATGTTTGTGTGTTTAATGTGTGAGTTTAATGTGTGTTTAATGTGTGAGTTTAATGTGTTTAATGTGCGTTTAATGTGTGTGTTTAATGTTTGTGTGTTTAATGTATGTGTTTAATGTGTTTAATGTGTGTGTTTTTTTGTGTGTTTAATGTGTGTTTAATGTATGTGTTTAATGTGTTTAATGTGTGTGTTTTTTTGTGTGTTTAATGTGTGTTTAATGTGTGTTTAATGTGTTTGTGTGTTTGTGTGTTTTGAAAAAACTAAGCTGGAAGTCGTCGTGCATGCGGCGTCATTTGAAACGCCATCAGACGCGTCATCAAATGCATTTAAGGCACTGCAGTGTGGAGAAACGCTGTGTACTGACAACAGAATGCGCACTGTGTGAATGCAGACAATATGTGTTGAATGTATTAAAATGTTATGTTTACAGAAGATGGAGCTAACATGTTGTTTTACAGTCACATCGTCTGGTTTGAGAGCGTCAATATTCACTCAAGATTTTTTGCAACATTACTGGAGTCCATGTTTTGAATCTAGTTCAATAAATCTAAAGAAGAGAACTATAAACAACCTTTGCAGCTGTTGTTGTGATGTTCAGTGTGATTATAGCAAGTGATCACAACTTATTTTTTCAGAGATAGTAGTTTAAAAGAATCACATTTTTTTTGTCATTTGCCGCAACTCATTACTCATTTATTAATCGTGAGGTACAGGCTGTTACTACTTCCTGTTGAATAATCAGGCATGTGTGCAGTGAGACAGGTGTGTGTGCAGTGAGACAGGTGTGCGTCTGGTGTGTGTGGTAACGTACTGCCAGGCAGAGTTTGATGGCGTCCACAGGTTGGTAGAAGGGCCAGGCGAACTGATGCTTCCACAGAGTCTTCACCACGACGTTCTGCATGTACTGCAGCTGGTTGGTTTTTCTGCGGGACACAAACAGAGACGACGTCACTGACGAGCTCACTTCCTGCTGATGTCACCACCGAGAGACGTTCACGTCTACTGTGATTTATTCTCACAGCTCATTTGGTGGACAGAGGCAGAAATCAGAGTTAACACCACACATGATGACATCACAACTCTGACCAATCACTGTGACGATTGAGAGTGAACTGTGGTGGTGATGACGTCTAATGACTGAAGGAGTCTCAGGTGTTTCTTACCTGCCGGGTTTGGTGGGGTTGGTGACCTCAGGTGGGGCCGGGTTGGTGAGGGTGGGGGGGCTGGGGGGCGCAGCCTCGGGGGCGTCCGACATGGTGGACGACGGTGACGCTGCAATGCACTGTGGGACGGCAGTGTCTGACCTGAAGGTGAAAAAACAACTCCCTCTGTGTGCCG